TAATTAAACAGACGAATTCAAAAGTCATGTGGGTATATATTGCTAATTTTTTTTAGCACTATGATCCTCTATTATGAACCTAGTATCTCTTATTCCATCAAGTCGTATGTAGAACCCAACAGGGAAATCAAGAGACATTACAACATGAGAGCTATCACAAGACCATATTTATTTCTAAGATGTTCTATGAACTCAAGAAAAGGTTCATGGGTTACAGGTACCGGATTAGATCTGATCCAATGTGACTGGAAGCCATCCCCATACTCTCTGAACTATCCCCTGCATAGCATTGCGGCATTGGGTGCAGTTGAAGAATAGCCACTTTCTTATGTCAGAGGGAATGCAAGTGGAATGATATTTTGCTTTGTTTTTGTTCGAGAGAGTCTGTCCGTAGTAATGCTTATCTATATATCTAGTTACTGCTTTTTTGTTAAGCCTAGACACAACAATGTCATGACTCTGTCTTCTACAAAGAACATAAATTTATTATATTTCATTCATGAACACTAAGCTTCCAATGCCCATGGTCCCAGGTTCGAATCCCGGCTCATGGAAAATATTTATTTATTCTGTTTCGTTGGCCGTGGGGTGACCCTATGGTAGGGGGACCCTTATGGGTCACATCCAGCCTCTACCAAGTGGGTATCCTTAATTATATAATTAATTAAGGGGGAAAACCTGGCAGTTGACCGTGATCCTGGTCCAATCTTCTATCTCTGCAACCATTGGCCTTGAAACGGTACTTTTCCTAAATAGTACTGAACCCAAGGCCCTTCATGGGTTGTAGTGGTACAGGTTTTTTTTATTCATAAATAATAATTAAAAATGATTTTTTTTTTTTTTTTTGCAACCAACATTTGCCCAAATTTGCTTCGAATTTATTAATTAACAAACAGTTATTATGATCCTCTACAGTTACTCATATATAAAATATATCAATTACTTGCAATTATTTATTATTAAGGTTTTTTATTTATTTTTTCTAAATGTAGTATACTTACTCAGATAAATTTGGTGGAAGAGCAACAACCCATTTAGCATAGTGTGTATGCTGGCCAGCTAGAGTACAACTTTGGTGTGGTCTGCCTGAAGAACCTCCACTTCCCACATTTTCAGGCCTATCTTTGTTTCTGCGACATATAATAGTTTCCCATAGAGCTTCCATGAGATCTTGGTTAGAAGTTAAATAAATCCATGGATTCACACAACTGTTCAAGCTACTTAATAATGTCAAAATAGTAAAAGTTCCACCTTAAATAAGAATGTTATTACATTAATTAATTATACCTTTTAGTAATTTATTTGTAATAAACAATTACTTTACATCATAAAAATATATAGTACTTAATATTAATTCAATTATTTATTGTGCCATATTATTAGGCATATACTATTACTATGTTCAAATAGTATATGTATGCTATAGTAGCTGTATACTGCAAATTACTGTATAGAAATTTGTTGAGAGGAGGAGCTGAGCCCCACCAACAAATTCCTATAGTATAAACTTCACGAACATATCGATTGTGTACATTACAAAGAATTGTATCTATCTAATAGCTGGTATAGTAGAATTTGTTTAGCGGTGTCCTATTTTGGATTCATAAACTCACCTAAACTATAAAAGGAATCATTTACTAAAATACTGTACTGTTTTAGTTTAATGTATTTGATGTGACAACACTTTTTTTGTCATCAGGAAGGGCTTGAAACAACTCAATACTTGCCTGAGATGGTAATTTTTCATATAGGCATATATTATGTGTTGCATATAGAATATATTAAAAATAATATCACCACCCACACAGATCTCCCCATCTACTCCGTGATCTTATAGTTCGGCCCCCAATAATTTTCATAAGTTGACGCTTACGGTAAGTAGTGACATACTTCTATCAAGAAAAAAAAGGTATGGGAGAAATTTAAGGAAAGATTTGAAGGTATCCCCGAGGAGAGGGTTATAGACCTTATGTTTGACCTTTATAATATTAAAAAGAACAACTCTGAGTCTCTAGATGACTATCTTAATAGATTTCAGTGATTGGTCCAAGAGATTGCTCAACTAGGGAAGGACTTGACAGACGGGGTTAGTAAGATATATAATTGAAGGTTTACCTCTTATAGCCCTGTTGTAAATGATATGTTAGCCAAGAGGAACATTAAAATTAGTGAATGAAGAAAAATGTTACTGTCATTTGAACTAAAAAGTACAACAAACAGAAATGATCAAATATTTAATCATGCCAGGATGGAACAAAATTTAATACCAAAGTGTTCCAAAGTGAGTCCTGGTTTATATGCAACAATTGTTTATATGCACACAACCAGGACTCATGAAAAAGGATTACTGGTTTAACAAGGATAAAAATGCTGAATTGTGTAGAAAGAAAAAGATTTTTTTTTTATCATTACTCATGAAGATGAAATAAGTGATGAGTGATTTACTCATGGCTGAAAAATCAAGAGTGATCACTCATCACTCATTACTATGAATTTAATCATACTCATGATTATGGAATTAATTTAATTATTCATTTACTCAATTAATTGCCCAATACTGATCTATAATAGTGATTCAATTCTTCTAAAAATCCCACTTGTCACCTTTGTCCATTTGACCTTTCAATTAATAAAAATAGTAACTGTTTATAATACTAAATTAATTACCTGAAAGGAATGGAGATGATGTTGCATGTGGATCCCATGTAGCCCATAGTTGTGCACTGATAAATGGTAATGAGCAAGCAATATATAGAGCAATCACAGCAACTGTTTGTTTAATTGTGTTGATTTTTGCTCGAGACACTACTTTATGGGGAGCAGATGCTGACAAAGGTCCTGTATTATGCCATATTGTTAGGCATATACAAGTATAGGTATAAATAAGTGAAACCAGTGGAACTACAAAGACTGAAATTGAGTACCTGAAATTAAGCAGAAATGAGTTTTACACATTTAATTTTTAAAAATATAATTTCCTTTTTATTTTAAGAAATAATGAATACATGAACTTCATAATATATATATACTTGTTAAAAGGTTAAGAATTATAAGAATGATACATAGAAAGACTCCAGAGAATAAAGGAGGAGGAAAGTATACTAATAACTTGGAATACTGGCCTACTTATCTGTCCTATATATGAATGTTGTAAGTATAGAGACATGGCACTCATAGTTCTATGTAAGACAATGAATCTCTTACAATTACAATTAAAATATTTTATTGGCAAAATAGAACTTACTTTGACAAGTCTTAAAGCCAAAAAAAGAGAGAAAAAAAAAAGGAAAAAAGATAATGACTAATACCTCACTAAACTGGATATATCTGTAAAAATATAATAGGTTGCTGAGCAGAATTCAGAGAGGAAGGAGGAAGATCTTCATCCTAAAACGGGTGCCCAAAATATCAATAGGAAGTTACTCAGGATGTTTACGAATTATTTGTCCATTTCAAATATGATTACCAGGAGTCCTACAATCCTATAAACTGTTCTACATCCTTTGATAGTTACCTGGTGTTGTACTTTCGCTGGCAGTGCATTTTCTTTTTCAATTTGTTTTAATCTATATTTTATATTACTCGGTTCCTATAGTTTGGTTAAAGTAGAGCTCATGCAGCCACTGAAATACTTCTAAAGTTTTATCTATTTGTATAACCTATTTAATATACTAAATGTAAAGATGGGCAACTTTTTGAAGAAATAACTATTGTTAATAATAAACGACAATACTTGCAAAAACATCTGACTGGTATGTCTAACATCTGCTGATAAGAGTTAATGTATTTTATCGGATTTACTATTGGATAATACTGAAACGTAGATCTGGGAGTATCAGGGTCTTTTGAAGATCTGTTCTACCAGATTTAGTGTAATAAATTTCTGAGATAAATGTGCTTGGGAGTATAATTTACAAAAGAAAAGGACATAAAGATTGAGGAGGCTCCTAAACATCCCTTTTTCCAAGATAAAATGGAACTCAGGTCATAGACTGAGTGTGGCCAGAGGGAATAGATGAATATAATAATAATAAAAGGCTTTGCGAACCCTGGGGTTCGATGCCGACACCATCACTTGCTTATTGCACACCTCCCTCCACCGTTCGCCGTCCAAATCCAGTCCCTTAAGATCGGCTTCAACGCAATCTTCCCACCTTCGCTTCGGTCTTCCTCTCGGACGTTTACCATTCGGTACAGTAAATATCAACCTTTTAGGAATTCTTTCGTTACTAAGCCCAACTATTTTACAAGCCCATTTGATTCTCCGCGATGTAATCACCTCAATTATAGTAATTGGATACAGTTCACGCAACTCGGCATTGTACAGCCTTCTGAACTCTCCGGTTAACTTATCCTTCTTCGGTCGGAATAGTCTACGCAATGCTTTATTTTCAAAAACCTTAAGACGTTGCTCATCTCTTAATGTAAGCGGCCATGTTTCGCACCCATGAAGAACTGTAGGTAGGATAATGGTTTTATAGATTCTAGTCTTTAAATTCCAGGACAAAATGCGCGAGCTAAGTAGTTTTGTCACAGAAAAATAACAAGCATGTCTCGCCTTCAGCCTGAAGTTAATCTCCTCTTCAATTTCGTTTTTTCTAGTTATCGTAGACCCTAGATACTTAAACTTCTCTACCTGTTTAAACATGTTACCTTCTATATCAATATCACCAGCAATATCGCTAACCATATTATAACCATTTTTGCAGCTAACCATATATTTTGTCTTATTCGTGTTTATTTCGAGCCCTAGTTCGTTACCGGCTTTCATTAACGTTGTCGTATTTAGTTTTATAGTTTCAGTGTCTTCGCTTAACAGGAACAGATCATCCACACAGCCAAGCACGGGTGGAGGGATTGGATACTGATAAAGAGGATTAGAGAGGCATTGTTGAGGAGACCAATGCCCTACATAGGAAGTAAGATACTATTATTATAATAAGTAAAATATATTATGGAATATTTTTTTAAAAGAGAAAAAAAAATATCTTTTATATATATTAAACTAACCATGTGACATAAACTCGTTCACCATATGGCTGACTAAAGACTGCCCAACAATCGAAAACACCAGGTGCTACTTCTTGGTATGAAAAAATGGTGAGCTGAAAATATTAAGATTATTTAACTTTAATGTTTATTAATGAATATTATAGTGCAGTATTATAAGATAAGAAACATTTGTGAAGTAATGAATAATAATTTGAGCTTTGTAGCCAAAAATTAAAGCATAATTGAAATTTCCCAGTATCATCTGGTAACTGTAAAATCTTAAAAAGTAACTCCTTTAAATAAGGGAAGACTACAGCGAACAATACTTTATAGTTTATTAATAATAGTACAGAAAGAAACTAATCTTTATTGTTACATAACTTACTTGTGGGGTACAAAAGGTTATTGAGAGTGCCCATGCACCCATTATCATTGCTCTTGCTCTTTTAGAACTCCAAGAGCAATAAGTGAGAGGGTGACAAATTGCTTGATACCTGTCCAATGCAGTTACTGTCAAGACATAAGAGCTTAAATAGGGGCCTAATGTTTGTCCAAATTTCACAGATTTGCAAAGAAATTCTCCTCCTTTGAAGCGAAATGTTACCTGTAGAAACATTAAATTAATTTTTGCACAGTGATATTTTTAATTACCTGAATGATTACAGAATATGCCACACAACTATAAGTAACAATACTTAATAGTTTATTAATAATACTAAAGAAAGAAACTACTGTTTATAATAATCTAGTAATGTCTAACAGATGTTCTATTCTATTTCCACCACTACTATCAGTAATACTATTATCATTTCTTAATTTGTTTATTATCTATGTCCTGTCATTTAGTTTATTCACATTTTTACTAATTCTTTTTGACTTATCTATATGGCTTACCAAGTACCAATAATATTATTAGACATTAAATAGTATAAAAGAACACTATTCCTAACTGAGAAATTATATTTTTTATTTGGGGTTGAAATTAGCAAAACAAGATGTTCTATTCCATTGCACAAATTTCATTCAAATTTGCATTTTAAAATTGCATAAATTTAATTCAACTTAAGTTCAAATTTACTACTTTATATTTTGTATTGTAGTTAGTATTACATATTTGTATCTAAAAGATTTATTTTTCAATTTTGCTTCTTGGTTTTTGTTGAAGCAGTCCAAAAAAAATTATAGAACACACAATATTCAGGTATAGAAGTACAATCTGCTATTTCAAATTGATTCTGGTTCACAAGAGACATAAAAGGTGGAAGAGAAGATGGGAGATGAAACGTTCAATAATTAAAAATGATTTTATTAACTGAGGGACCCAGTAATTTTTTGTTACAGTCGTTTTACACTGTTTTGATGATAGAAATTATGTTAATTAATTTTGTGTAGGTTTTGTCAATAATGTTTGCTTCAAATTAAGATTATGCTATAACAATTAATTATATTGAATTTATTATAATTTTTAATTATAAGGGTAGAGCATCCAAAATAATGTTTTTCACATCATAGATGCTTAGAAAACAGCCCTACAAGAATTTTGTAACTGTTTTGTTATTGTAAATTTCTATAGTTAATATATGTATTTCTTTATTTATTATGAATAAAAAAATATAACGATGTGAGATGAATATGTGTTGCTCATTTGATTTCCTGTCTTATTGAAGAGACACATTCACAGTAAATAATATCTTATTTATTGCGCACATATTATACTATTAGTAATGCTGATAAATAGTTTTGGTTGGCAGATGGTTGGGTGAAATGAAAAATTTATATTGGTCCATTGTTATTAAAAGTATGTGGGTCATCTTTAGAGGATAGTTGTTGACCAATGGTTGTTCCTATGGGAATTGGCCAATTCTAACCGTTGGCCAATTGAAAGTGAAAACCATTTCTCAACGTTGGGTCAACCATGTGTGCTCACTGGGTTGGTTGAGTTGATAAGAATCCTTATCAAGAGCCTTTACAGACTGCTTCATAAGGCCCAGCTTGATATGTAATAGAGAAAAGACGGTTTTCTCTCATTTAACTAAGGGTTCGTTATAACATTATTTTCCCCATCTACCATGTTTTCTTTCTTAGGCTACTCTTCTTTAACCCAGTGGTGCTATTTTATGTGGTGTTATTTTATTGGTGACAAAGTAAGGAGCATTGAAGATTTTCCGAAGGATTTTGGATTGTAAGGATTGGATTCGTGAAGAAATTGATGGCTTTGTGGTGCCCTATTATCTCAACTCCGAAAGTCCGAATAGGTCTTATTGTAGTCATATACATGATTCTTTTGTAATCAACTGAAAGCTTAGAGCATTTGTCTAGTAAGTGCTGGAGTAGTCAGAAACGTAGAGCGGTTTCTTGTCGTTTCAGTCTGGTATGAGGATTTCAAGTTAAACGTTTGTCCAAGTGGAGTCAGAGGTATCGGATTTGTTCAACAGGGATAAGTGGGGTATTATTAAAGTATACTATAGGACAGGAAGTCATAGGTTCACGACGAAGGGTAAAGGTGATTTGATGGGATTTATAGGAATTTATTTTAATCCTTCAGTTTTGACACCATTCTTCAAGGTTTGGGATGTAATTGTTGGATCATTATTAACTGATAGGACACATGTGTCATCGGCATACGTGATGATGGCAGTGTTAAGATGGGTTGGGATATCACCTGTATAAACTGTGTAAAGGATAGGACCTAGGATACTACCTTGAAGAACACCAGCTGATTGGGAAAAAAAGGATGAGTAGGCGTTATTGTGATTCACTTTAAAGTATCTATCAGTTAGATAGGAACGGATGATAAAGAAGCATGTAGGATGTAGGAATTCACGTAGTTTGTAAAGCAGTCCCGGGTGCCAGACTCGATCAAATGCCTGTTCTACATAGAGAAAGACTCCCGTGCAGCACATTCCGTGCTCCAATGCAGAGGAGACAACCACCACACGATGGCATTGCTGGATAGTGGAATGGGATCTGCGGAATCCAAACTGGTGATCTAGAATTATGTAATTAGAATATAGGACTGGGTATTGTTGTTTTAGGATGAGTTTTTCCAGGACTTTACCCATGATGGGTAAAAGAGAAATAGGACGGTAAGAGGATGGGTATTCTGGTTGCTTTTTAGGTTTATGTATTATTTTGATAATGGATAGTTTCCAAGGATCAGGAAAATATGTGGATTGGAGTACAGCATTATATATATAAGTAAGGAGTAGAATAGCTTTCCGAGGAAGTAGTTTTAGGATCTGGGATGTAATTAGGTCCTGTGCAGGAGCTTTGCGGATGTACGTAATGATGTGCGTAAATGATGTTGGATATTTCGAAAGAATTAAAGGTTTTAGGTGGTCGTCCATTGTGATTTGTTGGTAGGTGTAAGTTTTTCAGTAAAATTTAGTAAATTTTGAATTTTGTATTTTGTAATTTCTGATTTTAGTTTCTTAGTTAGTTGGGTGTAATGCGCTTTATTTTTTGGGTATCTAGTTCTATGCCACTTCGATCTTGCTCTGCGTTTTTCCTTTAATTAGATACGAATATGCCGTGGCAAGTTAGTCTTTTGTGGATTGTTAATCTTATTGATAAAGGTGTTATTGTTTATAATGTCTGTTATTGATGCTGTAAGTTTTTCTATGACACCATTAATGTCTTCTTTTGTCTTTAGCAGAATTTTGAGGTCTAATTTGTATACCAAATCATCACGAAATTTATCTCAGTTTACTCGTCCTGTAATCAATTTAGGAGGTGATGGTTTAGGAGTAAAGTTAGAATGTAGTGAAAGCAGAACTGGACTATGGTCTGAAGAAAGGTTATCCAGGGATTTGATTATGGCTTGGGAGGAGGAAATCTTGGAGGTGATAAATATATTCAGGATATCGAAACGTTTTTTGAGGGATGTTGGCCAATAAGTAGGAGTTATGGGCAAGAGGATTGAATAACTGCTAGAAGAGGAGACACGGGAAAGGATGTTACCACGGGAGTTGGATGTTCGACAACCCCATCGTTAGCATTGTAGTCTGCTCCAGAAATAAAGCGCGATTCGAGGGATTGGAATAACGTATCTAGGAGATTATAGGAGAGGGGATTACCAGAAGGACAGTATACAGGTGAGAATGTGAGATGGAAAGGACGAGTTAGAAGGATTACAGAAGTTGATTGAATGACATCAGTTGGAGTGGAAGGAATAAGGGAATAGGGTAAAGATTTATGTATAAGGATGCAATAAACGGCGTGGGCAGTGTTGTCTGGATGGTCACATCTATTAGTGATGTAGTGTCGTTTGTGAAAATGTGTCCGCTTAATGAAATGCGTTTTAGTCAATACAGCAATATCAATGTGATTGTCATGAAGAAATATTTCAAGTTCGTCTCGGTGGTTGTGTAGTCCGTTAGTATTTCATAAAAGTATAGTTAGGGGCTTTGTGTTCATCGAGGGAAATTAAAAAGGATTTCGGTAAGGATTCTGGTGAGTAGAGTGATGAGAGGTTTTATAGTGTTTTGGAGGTCCAATAGGAAGGATGATATGTTAGATGGATGTTGTTTGCGAAGTGGATTTAGAATAGGTTCTTGTGGTGGGTAAGGAGTGTTAACTGAGGGTGGGACTCGTCGTTGTGTACGAGGTGGGTCTGGATTCGAAGGAACTTGTGCTGGGATTTTTTTCTGGACATTAGGATGAGATGGGTGTGGATGCTGTGGAGCCAATTTAACTCGTAAGGGTAGATAATGAGGGATATTTTGCTGACGGGGAGGATGAGATTGAGAATTGGGAGTATGAGGTTTGGATTGGGAGATCTGAGGCTGCTGGTTATTGGTAATGGTTTGGGTGTAAGTTTTGCTGGAGTCCTGGTTAGGATGGACGATGTCAGTTGAAGCAGTCGGTTCTTGTTGGATAAAATGGGTATTGTGTTTTGGCAACTCAGAGAAGTTTGAAATATTTTCAATGTCTGGTGGTTGGGTTTAAGTTTCTTGATTTAGCTTACCGCTTTTTAAGGCTATGTTCTGAGATCTTAGCTAATAATGTTTTTGGTAGACTATGCATCCTTTGTAGCTTTCAGGATGGTCTTCGTCACAGAGAGCACATTTAGGAGGCTGATGTTGAGGGATCTAACAAGTGTTAGATGCGTGTTGCCCGCCACATCTTATTCAATCGCCTGATGATGGCAATAGGTATTTGCGGGTCCCAAGTCTTGACACTTGGTGCATTGCATTATGAAAGGTCTAGGCTCTTCGAATTTTACTGTGGAATATACAAGCCTTTTAAATTGAAATATTTCAATGTTATTACAAGCAAGCTCCAAATAAACGAAAAACATTGGCAATGGATATTTTTGCGTTGGAGGTAGCACGCATGCTATATGCCTAACGTTGTGTCCTATTTCTTCCAGATCAGATTTGATAACGGATATGGGAGTGGTTGAGTGAAAACCTCTCAATGTCACCCGATGTGCCTTTTCTTGTCTCAGTTGAGAGCATTGAAATTCATATTTTTTAGTCGTAAAATAATTTATAAGTGTTTTATAATTTTCTTTAGAGCTCGTGTTGATCTTAATGTCATTTACTCTAGAAAAACGGCGTAAACTGGTTCGTCCGATAAACAAAAATAGGGCGGTTCGAGGTCAGTAAAACCATGAGGCTCCCGAGGCTTGTTTGGTGAGTTACTAGCAGGAACAGAATTATTGCTGGCTGTGGTCCTTGGTGCTGTTGGCGCTGTTTTTGTGGTGTTTGATTTGCTTCTAGCTTTGGGTGGTGATTATTTTTGTTCGGCATGCTGTTTAGATTTTGTTGATTTATTTTTTTTCTTGCAAGGTGAATTGCCACCTGATCCAGAGGGAGAGTTCCGGCGACGTTTTTGAAGCGAACGTCTTTTCAGATATTGCGAGCCAGGTTTACTAACTTCGGAAAATGGTGTCTCGTCCTCTTAATCTTCACATGAAGAGTTTACGTCTAAATTCATATTTTCCGTTTAAATGATAAGAAGAGAAAACAAAAATATACCAAGATATTACAAAGATAACAATTTACAAAATAAATTATTAAAAAAAAATATATTTACAAACTTAGAAACGGAAATAAAACAAAACATTTCTGAGAATAAATAAAAAAAAAAAAAAATTAAAATAAAACTGCCTCTGGGAGAAAAAAAAATTCTATTAGTCTTTGGTTTCGAACTGAGACCAGATCACGAAAGAGTGCTAGTGTACAAACCTTGGCCGTGAACTTAATGTAAATAAGATAAAAAGGGAAAGGGAATTAACAGCCACTTGGGCTACCCAAACGAGCACTAATTTTTATCTTCATTGTTAATAAATTGTAACTCACCTGTTTATCCTTGAACTGTTGATAAAGTCGCTTTTGATAAAGTTTTAATTCAGAGTTTTGACTAATAAACACATAACAAAGTAGTAATCACAGAGCGACGTGAAAGCTAAACTGTAGTTGCGGCCATGAAACTTAACTCTTTTTGGCAAAAATTAAAATAAACATACTTATTTATTTCTAATTTTTCATTGTTTGACTGACACCCCAACCATTCTTCTCTTCAATTATTCACTACAGTTAACCATTAATCCACAAGTATATATTTGTTGTTTTCAATATTATTATTTAGTTATTTGTTTCCATTTATTTATATTTTCTAAAAATATTGTGTAAATGAACTCTTTTCTCATTATAATTAATATCCTCATTGCGGCAGAATGTTATATTACTCAATAAAATAGTTTCTGATAAAAAAAGAGATAGAATTTCCGGCTTAAACGATAACGTTTCATGTTCTTTGAAACATAAAATAATCTGTTGAAGAAGGGTGTACAAGACTTAAAAAGAAATATTTAAATACATACACAGGCGCCGGCACCGAAGGTTGGTAGGGAAGGCGGTTTTTGCCTGCCCAATATTTTTTGAAGGGGATCAGGGTGTCTCTGGCCTCCCAATATTTCACAGCCATTTACATAAAAAGAACTTACAAAAAAGTTTAATAAACCGTGCAAGTAATAATTAAATAACATCACAAGTAGTATAAATTTATGGCGCTTTAACTTTATTCCTCTTCCCCTTTCTCTCCGATGTTTTTTAAGTCCGGCGCCAGTGTAAGAATAAATCGCCGTTACGAATGTAAGAGTAAAATAACTGTATTTTAATTTTGCAAATGGAATGGTCTAGAGCATATTAAGATTATATTAGTCGCCTATAATTTACTACAAGTTGATCTGAAGATCTTTTCGAGATGGATTAATAACTATTAAATAGACGTACCTCCCATGCCAGTTGAGGAAGTATATTGAGCCATGCTGTACACATATCAGCCACACAAAGATGAAGCATGAAAAAATTCATCCTCGGTACTTTAGTACGAGTAGCTGACTGACGCCTCGCAAAAAGTGCAGCAAGCACAGCTCCATTTCCAACAACGGTCATCACAAACATAACAGCTAGTGTTGCCATCTCTATCTTAGCCAGATCTTCATCTCTTTCATGTACAGTCGAACAGTTGATGGAGTCTGTAATGATCAATTTAGTTATTTGAACACTAAATTAATTAAATAATAAATCTATTATTATTAACAAACATAAAACCAAAAAACAAAACAAAAAACACAATAACTAAAATAAACATAGATACGAATAACATTAGACCCATCCCAAAATTAAGAATACCTAGTTTAAATTAAGGTTACCAAAATTAAGGTTACCTAGATTCATTGAGAAAATATCAATGACGTACCCAATTGAAATCCAAAAATCATTTTAAAATTGTCAGAAAAATACAAAAACTTTGAGAGATAGCGCAGGTTGTGCTGTAACGGGTAAGGTGAATCAGCTCCTATTTAAACTGTCAGGAGAATGCTCCATATTTACCGGAGAGGCAACTGCCATCATAAATGCTCTTTATCAGGGTTGCCTACTCCCCCTCCCCCCTCAAGGTTGATGGCGTATTAACCTTCCTCCACCCCTCCCATATTTGATTGCTTTATCTTTTTAAAAACAGTGCAAGCGAAAGTAGAATTTAATAAACCGTTCTCCGAAGCTTACTGAGGTCACTGGAGGTGTTTGACGATGATATAGTTTGACAGGCGAAGAACGAGGTGTCGAGCTTAACGACGAACGAATTCTCTTAATAGGCGCTCTACTAGACATGACCTGATGAGGATATCGCATAAAAGAAATAATTTATAACTGCACACAGTAAATATCAATTGTTCCTATGTACTCTTGATCAGTTTTTAAATGAGCAATCGCAGAGATTCCGCTGAAAAACGAGAAATTCCGAAAGCCGAGGTGGAAACAAGCTTTCGCATCAGCTGTTCGGTGGTTTCGGCTCTCAACATTCTACAACAAGGACTCCGAGTTGTTGATCATATTTCACCAGCCCTAGAAAACAAGAAATACTGTTCGGGTGCATTTCTGGATATAGCACAGGTATTTGACAGGGTATGGCAAGCTGGATTACTCTTCAAGCTTAAAATCTATTTACCTCAGTCCTTGTACCTAGTCCTCCAATCCTACCTCTCTAACCACTTCTTTCGAGTTAGCTGTGGAACAGAATTTTCCAGTATCTATCCAGTCAAAGCCGGTGTTCCCCAAGGCTGCGTCATGGATCCTGTACTTTAAATTCTCTTTACCGGTGAGATCCATATTCATCCCGATACCTTCCTTGCAACATTCGCTGATGACACCGCAATCTTATCATCTGACTCTGATCCCGAAATAGCATCCTCAAATCTGCAAAGGCACCTCTCCTTGATTGAGCACTGGTGTAATAACTGGTGCATTAAAGTGAATGAATCCAAACCTATTACCTTTATATTACCTTTACATTCCGACGCGATTTCTATCCACCAGTACACATTAACTTGGACTTACGGACTAGAACTGTGGAAGACAGCAACATTTTCTAACATCAAACGCATTCAATCCTTTCAATCTAAAGTCCTTCGAACAATAGTTGATGTTTCATTTTATGTAACCAACAAAATCTTACACAATGACCTTAATATCCCATTTGTTCTAGGTCTTATCCCCGAAAGATTCTCTAAATTTCACCAGATTATGGCGGGTCGGAGTCAGCAGGCGCACAAGGACCTATGTTTCTTTCCTCGAAAAAGACCGTCCATGGACCGAACCTAAGGGGGGCTGTTAACATCCTGGTAAACCACATCCCGATTCCTGATTTTAAGTACACAGGGTAGGGTCTCCAGTAGCCTGACGGGCCTCACATACCCGGATGGGGGGGGGGGGGGGGGAGGAATGACTCGGGCAGCATGGCTTTTCCTGGCGGACGGTCACCCAAATCGGCTACCCCAGCCTCCCCCTCCCTCTCTCACCCTCTCTCTCAAACACACACACACACACACACATATATATATATATATATATATATATATATATATATATATATGTATATATATATATATATATATATATATATATATATATATATATATATATATATATATATATATATATATATATATATATATATATACTTAACTATTTAATTGGGAATAAGGTCATTTAATTAAATGACTTTATTCTCAATTAAATAGTTAAGTTTAAATTTAATACTCAAAGGTCGATTGAGGAAAAGTTGTAAATATATATATATATATATATATATATATATATATATATATATATATATATATATATATATATATATATATATAGAGAGAGAGAGAGAGAGAGAGAGAGAGAGATTAATTAATTAATTAATTGTTTGCAAATGAATTAGCATAGAGTAACTGGAATATTTCTATAACTTATTCTTTATTCTTTTCTTATTTTTTCCTCTAACTTTTACATCAATAAATGGAAAAAGTAATTACATATAAAAAAAATAAGGGAGTCAATTATGATAGAATAAAATACCTACCATTGGGACATAATACTCTCGATGGTACAGTTGATGTGATGTTGTCTTTATCAACATAATCGGAGTAAGAAGAATCACCCATGGATGAGAAAGCAACCGTTCGGGTCTCTGTAACAAATATTAAAGACAATATTAAAGTGAGAAACATTAAAAAATCTCTATATGCCAAACAGACCTGTAATAGGTAAAGTATATAATGTAAATTGTTCACGGTATATTAGATTTCTGAGATATTGTGGCAGATTATTATCTTATGGATGATGTTATTCAGTTTTTTAAATAGTTCATCGGGTAAGCTATGCTTTGACTACAATATTTTGATAGTATCCTCATAATCACCATATCAATACCTAATAATGGCCAGTTAACATATCTATAAAGTGTTTAAAAAAATGTCCTCTTTATAGTGATGGATACGTTGAATTTTTATTTATGACGGAATTACGCAGCTTATAGACCTTATTGACCTTGGCCTTCCCCACCTTTGCCTGTCTTGAGCTATTTCTTTCCAGTTATCTGCATCCAGCTCTATAGCATTTTTGTTGATCCGTTCTATCCATCGACTTTTTGGCCTTCTGCGCGATCTTTTATCTGCTATTGGGGCATTCATTGATCTGTAGAGGTTTCCTGATGAATTTTTCCGAGCTAAATACTTAATAAATTTATAAATTTAATAAATACTTTTTGTAATTAAATTTTATATCTACCGACAGATGTAGTCATAGCAATATAGAAATATAAATAGAAAATCAACTTTATTCTGGGACAAAGTCCCTTAAGAATAACAATATTACTCTTAAATTTAAAATAAATCTGCCCAAAAGACCTATTACAATAAAGAATAATTAAAACATAACTAATAAGGTAAATATATACATAGTTATTAGGATAAAATAAATAAAGTATATGAGCAATAGGATTTAAGTGCTGCAAATAGCTGCTAAAAACAATAAAATAATAATAGTAATAAAAAAAAATAACAGAAAAGAAACTAACTAGAGTAAATAACTGATTTACATCTGTTCTTTAAGATGTAGAAATGAATACTCAGTAGTAATGTAAACAATAGAAAGATTATTGTAATATAAATACTGGGAAGTAGATTGAGGGAAGAAAAGAAATATAAATATATACACACACTCATAAGTATAGGAACAAACGTTAAAATAGGCATTTAAAAAAAAAAAGAAAATACGAAATATTTTCAAAATAACTCATTACTAATATATAATATACTGTTATAGTATACTATAATAATGTATCGTGTAATAATACTGGATAGAGTATTATTTCGTTTTTATCCAACGGCATCAGCATATTACAAGCGTGTACTGGCCAACTTCATGGCGGTTGCCTAACGAGCCATATTTCGGGGTACCTAAAAATCATTTTAAAATAAAATAAATAATTATTTTGCTCCTTGTTTGTAATTTTTATGAAGTCATTCTTGTATTTTGTTATCATCTCGTTTCTTGAATGTTATCATCTCGTCAATCAATACCTCCCGGCCCTTCTACGCTCAGTTTAGGAACGAGCTTTGCCCGAACGCATGCAAGCAACACTTACAGTCACATCGAAGACTAGTATCGATAAACTAGGAGTAATTGCCGACAAAATCGCTGAAATATACGAGCCGGGTGAAAGCCAAATTTCAGCCACTCATACCGAAGAAAGTACACATCAGCAGATCTGCCAACTTAATGAAATGTTCCAGAAACTAACCATAGACGTTAGTGAGCTTAAGCAAAAGGCTTCTCGAGGGCAAGCGAAGAATCGATCTGAGAGCCGAGAAAGAAAACGATCCAAGAGTCATGATAGTAGTCTTAATCATTTTATAACAGATTTTGAGAAAATCACAAAAATTATCGGCAACCCTATTCCTGAAATTCCGAGGAGGAGGGAAACACCGCCGACTTTTTGTGGTAGAAAAAAACAAGGGAGACAGGTTTTTAGTGGACACTTCTTCTTATCTGGCATCACGAGCCACTTTATGGAGTCAAAGCCTGTTCCAACAAGGATCGCCAATCATCTCTATTGTAGAGGCGGGGTGATGGAATGAGCTAACGTGTGTGCACAGCACCGCGAGTTGCCTGGCAACCAGATGAGTTAAGAGAGTCCAGGTGCCGGATGGGATTTTAAATTTCCCGCCCTCACTCCCCGGTCTGGGATAACCCCGTATATCCTAAAAAGGCAAGGTAGGGAAGTACAGAAAAAAAAATCCTCTATTGTGAAACTGCCTTCCAATTCCTTAAACCAAGCTGTTTTCTGGAGTCCGTAACCAAACAATCCTCCCAACGAAGCTTTGGACGTCCTGCTCTCCTTGTTCCATAAACTAGCAAACATTTTAATGAGTTATCTCTCTTGTTCATTCTTTTTTTTTTAATAACCACTGCTTGTAAGTATGTTATTTTTATTATTAACATAAATTTGCATAATTAAATATAAAAACAATTTACAATTAAATTTTTTAGTAGTGAGCACGTTTAGTATTGAAGAATTAACGGCAATTTGTAGTTAATAATAGAGACTTGTAGGGCCGCCAATTGTAGTGAAGATACTTGAAAACAAAAATCAATTCCAATGGCCGTTAGTTTCGTGGAGCGATGCCTTTAATGATGGGAAGATGGCACTTGATGATCTATCAATTGTTTGGCCTGATTGTCTCCCTTGCTCATTTTTAAAGCTCTTCAGTATTTAATAAATATCTATCAATGGAATTATAAGATATTCTTCGAAATTGATTGATCTTTCGTCCAAGTTTTTTTAAAGCTATATTTATTGGTAAAAGTTTAATGATATTCAATTTATACAAAATAAAATTGAAATGTATAATTCAGTTAAATAGTAGTAAAAAATTGCGATATTAAAATAATTGTAATACACAGACATTTAATTGTCTAATATGACATAAAATCATGAGACCATTTACAAAATTGCTTAAGTCGGATTAAACATAGTCTAGAAATATAAAACTTAGAGCTTTTGATGTTATAGAAACCTACAATAGGAGAAGCAGAAGCAAGATTTCTTGCTTCAGTTAGGTTTGTATTTATATCAAATGAATTGGTTTGCTCACATTTATTTATTATAGATTTTATATATTACTTATTTTATTGTTTTACTATTTTGTACGTCAAGATAAAGTGATTTTTTTTTTCATTAAGATGGTTCAAAATTATTCATCTTTCTGACTATTATACATCGAAAAATATATTTGCCATAACCAGGGCTTGAAACGAAATTTCAACTTTTAACTTATTTTTAATCAGTTTTGGTGTGACTGGAATCTTTATTTCCAATATTTTTTCTGACATCTTGGAACTAGAACTTTTCCCTTGCAGCTTTTGTCTTTAAGTCAATTTAAAAATTAATTTTCTTCTTAGGAACTCAAACAAACCAGTTCATTTGAGTATTATTAAGTAATTCATTTAGGATAAATTATAACTCTTATATAACATGGGTAGGTTAAGGGTTCACCGATTTCAATGAAACTTTTTTTGATGATACTAGGTGAACAAATGACCGAGGTTTCTTGCCAATGAGACCTAGGAGCCTAAGAGGAGAAAAGTTTTAAGTTTCAAACAAAATTTATGTAATTTATTTTTGCCTTTGCTTTTCCCGGATTTTTAGATTATTTCATACTAGTCGGTTTATTTTTTTGATTATGATATTAATTGATTATAAAGTATCCTAAATAACAAAAACGTAAAGTAGGACAGGTGAATTTTTATTTTGAAAAAATAAAGTTTTTAGTGTTATTTAAAACTCATAAATACGAGTTTTGATATATATCAAGAATTGCAAATTTCAGTACTTTTTTTTTTAGGATTGTTTTTCAGGCCTTTAACTGAAGCATTCATAACTTCTCAAGATTTACTTGAACTTTAAAGTTAGTACAAACAACTGTTGGAAAGTTTAATTACTTCTCGTCCAAACAATATAAATAAGTTTTGGATTACGTTTAGAGAAATTTAGAAAAACTTCTCAAATAAAAGAGTTGTGGTGTAAATTATTTCCTGGTGCACACAGGGCCCTTAGTCACTAATAATTTTCGTGTGATTTCTTCAAGTGGTTCTGAAATTATAATAATTTTTCTAGTTTGCGACCAGCCCGAGCAAAAATTTCATGGGAAATATTGTAATGTTTCGATTGCTATGGAAATTCACATACTTGAGCTTTTTGATATGTGAAAAATGAGTATCAACTTTTTTTCTCCCTAAAAAAATTGTACTCCAATTTTTTACATAGACAAAAATTTTAATGTTTCGATTATTATCAAAATTCGTATTTTAGAACTTTTTGAGCTGTGAAAAACGAATATCAACTTTGTTTCTATCTGAAAAAAAATCTATATCTTAGATAAAACGCCGATTTAGAAAAAAAAACATTATATTTGGTTGCAATTACCCTTTATGCAATTCCTGTCCACCAGAACATTTTAATTCCATTCAGCTTCCTTACTCAGACATAGTCCGGTATCTTGGCTTTCTCTTAGACCAAAGACTGACATGGAACCCACATACAAGACTCAAAAGACAAGAACTCAACAGACGATATGGCCAGCTATATAGACTACTGAACAGAAAATCTCAACTTTAAATTGACAACAAACTACTGATCTACAAGACAATACTGAAACCTATTTGGACCTACGGACTGGAACTGTGGGGGACAGCAAAATCGTCTAACATGAACCGCATTCAATCCTTTCAGTCCAAAGTCCTTCGAACAATAGTTGATGCTCCGTTCTATGTAACCAACCAAACCCTACGTAATGCCTTTAATAGCCCATTTGTCCTAGACCTTATCCTTCAAAAATTTTCCAAATTCTACCAAAACCTTATATATCATCCAAATCCAATTGCACAATCCCTATCTAGCTCCAGCCATCCCTACAATCCTCCTCGAAGGTTGAAGCGGCAGTGGCCCAGAGACTTGTTTTAAGAATATATAGGAGTTATGGCAATGGCCGGATTCTCCACTCAAGCCATGTATGTCTGGTTTATTTATTTTGTTAGATTGGTTTATTTTTATTTAGTTTATATACAATTTACTTTAGTATTATTATATTGCCGTTTATTA